AGTACTCTGAAAACTGTTTTTACAGTTCTATGAAATAAGGACTAAAGATGTTTAAGTCTCCACACAGCACCTTTAAAGCTGAGGATTCACACAGCTTACTAAATCAAAGATAGGAGAAAGGCCCTATTGAATGCAATAAATCACTATACCAAGTAGAAGTAATTAATAATACTAAACATTTTTGTCACTTAGTCTATCAAAATATAAATTGATTCTTAAAAATCCATGGCCACTAAATATAGTATTGCATGTAATAACAATCAAATTAAAGCAGAGTCTGAAATTCTTTGTCCCTTTACAAAACTCACCAGTTTTATGTGGCATTCTGGGCATGCTGTCTAGATCAGGCAGGCTAATGCACAGAAAAAAAACTACATAATGGCCCAAATACCGTAAACGTCATCTTCTAGCGCATGTAAAGTCTGTAACAGTTGTCTCTGGTCAGTAGAAAGCTCCCCTCCAAACAGGGGCTCTGGCACCATGTGCCTCCCTCCCATCAACCTCAGGAAGAAATGGGAAGCCTGCTGGTTCCCAGGGCTCCTACGGATGCACTGAGACGATGAGGAAGGTGTACATACTCATGCCCTGAGGTCTGGGAGCAGGGCCCCAAGCCTTAAGTAGCTTTTTTTTTTTGGTGCAGTCCTCAGGCTTGACTCAGAGCCTGGGCACTGTCTCTGAGCTTTTTTGCTCAAGGTTAGAGCTCTCTACCACTTAAGCCTCAGCTCTACTTTCTGTGTAAGTGATCTTTTAATTACAAGAAGCCCTCCTTTCAGAAATGTCTTCTAACCTGAAATTTTACCTTTAATTCTTCCGTCATTAGGCATCTGAAACAAACCTACTAGCTTTCCTTCCCTAATAAATATTCTTAACACATTAAACATAAGACTGCACCAAGGGTATTGTTGAAGGGATATCTGCCTCGTTCATCCTAGTATCTCTCTAGTATTTAATTCAATGTCTACAATAGAAGTTCATGGAAAGAAAAAGAGCAGCCCCAGTCTCCTGTGCTAGGACTTTTACTAAAGGCCCTCTGATCCTTTTAGACATAGCTGTCCCTTTGAAAGTACTACTGTGTTGTCTCTTTCCCTCTGCTTTCCTGACAATCCCTCTGAGCTACTGTGCCTTAGTGCTCCTACCACTGAGATAGGAACAAATCAGTAGCCATGAAATCTTGGTCCAGCAAGGCTATTTTTTACAGGGAGCCTTTTAGAAGTCCCTGTGGTACACATTCAACAAACTAGTCAATACAACTAATGTTACTTTAGGTCCACTAAGAAAAGGGGGAGTGAGTTTCTCCATAGGTTCAATGAATATTAACAGCCAATCCTAAATTTTTTGGCTAGAGCAGAAGCCTATATATAGCACAAGAAGGTATAAGTCCTATCAACATACATGCTTTGGGAACACTCCGTAATATCTGAGTGTAATATCTTAGTGATATCTGAGACTGAACAACCAACAGGTAGCTTTGTATCATTTATGAACCACAAAAAAAGTTAATGGGGAAAAAATACATAATGGAACAGAAAACTATTTTGTGCTCACATATTATCTCTTTTCATAAAAGTTTAAAATGTACATGGCACAGTAGTCCCTGTGCAGCAAGAGCAAGGCCCTGGGTTCAAACCCCAGTACCAAACAAGTAAGTAAATGAATAAGTAAAACTTCTGACAACACTCCTCTGGGACAGAAGCAAAACCAAGAGATACATTCACACACTCACATTAAAAAAGAAAAGTGGCCTGGTAAGTGGCAGCTTTCTCCTCTGGGGACAGGCAACAAAGCAGGGAGCAGGAGCCTCTAATGGACTTCGGACTCTGGCCATGTTACCATGTTAGGCATTCAAATAGAGTCCAACAGCACACAAATGACTACAACACCCACAAAACAGTTACAGACCTACGCAGCTTACAGAAGCTAGTCTTAGAATACATGAAAACCTGATTTATGGCCTGAGTAATCAAATTAATTGATTCACTATTACCAAAGATTCATGTAAAGTGTAATTCAAAATTTGAAAAAAACTTTCCAGATATGAATCAAATATCATTAGAATTTTCATAAATTGAAGTGATCAGGAAGCCAATATACTCAACAGTGTGAAAATAATCTAACAGCACTTGATAAGTATCCTCCATTTATACAAAAAGGATATTCTAGCAGAACACATTCAGGAGAAACTATGTAAGATTCAAAGTGATACTTTTTACTAAAGTTAACAGTAGTAATGATAACAATTGTTAACTTCTCAGAAACAGCAATAAAATATCAGCAGAATCAACTCAACAAACTAAGACTTCCTTCCATGAACTACTATGTACCATCAGTGTCTTATATCAAATCTTATTTTCATCCTAAAAGGCAGAAGCAGACACTAGGCCTATTCTAGAAAAGAAAGTCCCAAGGTGTGGTCCCAAAACTTGATGAAGGACCCATACCAAAGCAGAGCAGGGAGCCAGCGACTCCCTCAACCAGCTTCCTGGAACTACTTCTGGGCTATTTCCACAGGAACATACAACCCATTACCTAAGAACAGAAGTTTCTTCTCCACAAAGTAAGTACACAAAAGACGAGGCAGAAAAAGTACACAGGTTACTCTGGAAGAAAACTAGAGCAAATGAATACAGTGGGGAGCAGCACAAAATGTCTGTAATCTAAACTGGAAGAGGACCTTAAAGAAACGTGACACAGAGACTGAGGCAGAACACTGCTGTGCACCCCTGGAAGACAACCTTGTCTAAAGATATTTAGTGCTTCTCAAATGTTATTTTGGTCCATGAATCAGACCACACATCATCTGTCACTACTGCCCAAAACATTAAAGCTTCATAAAATTAAAGGAGAAGCTAGGGGCCAGTGGCTCAAGCCTGTAATCTCTAGTAGAAAACTGAGATCCAGAGGGCTGCAATTCAAAGTCAGCCCTGGCAGAAAAGCCTGTGAGATTGCATCGGCAAAATAACCAGCAAGAAACTGGGCTTCAGGCTTGTTTCAAGTTGTAGAATGCCAGTCAAGCAAGCAAGCCAAGCAAATTCAAAACCTTAATACTGGCAAAACAAAAAACAAAAAAAACTCAAGTGGTAGAATACCAGATGAGCAAGCAAGCCAAGCAAGCATAAAGCTCTGGGTCCAAATTCCAATACCACCAAAAACAAAAACAAAAAATGGACTATAGGAAAGAATGACACAATTTCTCATAGGAGAGCAATAAGGCATATGCCAAGAAACTGGAGGCCCCAGTCCCCTGAATGGAACTCAGCTATCTGAAAGCCTTTCTTAAACCAAACTCAGCCAGAACTAGGAAGGAATCCAAGACACACTCACTCGAAAGGCCACAAGAGACTTCTGCAAAGTCTTGCACAAGATCTCACCCGCTTCACCCCAGGAAGAGGCCCCCAAACCCACACTTCAGTGTAGTTGTTGCAAACTGCTCACATCCTAAAAGCCTAACAACCAGTTGTATGAACTACTCACATTCTCACAGCTATTAACAACCGGCTTGCCGAACCCAGAGAACATGAGGCAGCAAATTGAAAGGGAAGAAACAAAACTAAAACACAAAAGAGGAGCAAGGGACAGAAGTAAGACCAAAAATTAGACAGAAAGTCTTGAAAGTCAGTGCCAATGGCTCATACCTATAATCACATAGCTTCTCAGGAGGCTGAGATCTGAGGACCATAGTTGGAAGCCAGCCCAGGCAATAAAGTCTGTGAGACTATTGTCTCCAATATGAGCAAAAAGCCAAAAGTGAAGCTGTGGCTCAAATGACAGAGCACTTTTCTTGAGCACAATGGCTTAGGGACAGAGCCCAGGCTGTGAGTTCAAGGCTCAGGACTAATGGGGGGAGAGGGGGGAGGAGGAAGGATGTCAAAGACGTAGCAGTTTGGGATCACTTATCATAAAAGCAAAGATTCCATTCAAAAGGCCTTAAAGATATCACAGCATTAAAGTTCAGTAATTTAATTACAACTTGATCCCAAGTTACCAAGGAAAACGTAAGTTAAATTAAGTATTATATAACTCAATGTAGAGAAAGAAGAGTAAATTTTTTATTTATTTATTTATTTATTTATTTTTTGGGGGGTCTGGTCGTGGGGCCTGAACTCTGGGCCTGGGCGCTGTCCCTCAGCTCTTCAGCTCAAGGCTAGCGCTCTACCACTTGAGCTACAGCGCCACTTCCAGCTTTTTTTTCTTATGTGGTGCTGAGGAATTGAACCCAGGGCCTCGAGCATGCAAGGCAAGTGCTCTACCACTGAGCCACCTTCCCAGCCCAGAAGAGTAAATTTTAATACATTTTGTTTGCATATTGCTTTACATCATTATAAAATGTTTCCAACTAGATCATTTCATCCTCAGTAACATCATCAGACAAGCAGGAAAGCGGGAACCTCTGGTAACAGAAGAGTTTATCAATGGTAGTTACAAGACAGAATGTTAATTTGTCTGAGGAAAGAAGACATAAGAAGACACCCACGCCCCTAGATTGGGGAGGAAGACTACCTGAGAAAGCTCAACACAAGGCTGACTCACATAACCTTCACCTGGAACTTCTCTATTTCCCAAGTTCCCCTCTAAAAACTCCCATCCTACAGAAGAACTGTCCTAAAGTCTCCTTGCTGTGTCAAAGGAAATGACTGTCACCACCATGACTGAGCAATATTGACTGTGACTTCTGGCGGGCTGGCTCTCTTGTCACATGTCAGAGGCTCACACAGCAGGAACTAAGGGCGGCCTCTGGTCATCCGTCCACTGAGAGAATCTTCAGATAACCCTGGGAGCTGAGACGCAGATCCTTCTCCACCTGAGCCCAGTCCTTATGCCCACACTGCATGCAGCTCATGGGGCTGGAGAGCTACAGTGGTCAGGCCCTTCTGAACTCCTCACCCAAAGAAACCCTGAGATGATAAAGTGTTTTAAGCCACCAAGCTGGTGGTCATTGGTTACAGCAGAACTAATACACCACAGCCCAACAGGTCCAGCATCCCAGTGATTTTGTTTCTCACCTTGAACTGTAAGAGGTGCTTAAAAACTGCTTTTTTTGCTGAGAAACACTGACTCCTTACTTGGGCCATAAAGTTCTGGCTCTCTTCCAGCTTGTGTTAGGATGTTTTCCTCCCTGCCTGCGCCAAGAAGGCTGACCTCCATGGACTTCAGCACCAGGGTTCCCTTGCCCTCTGAAAGTGCAATGAAGAAAAACAAAACAGGCTGACATGAATGACTCCCTCATCCGTGACCCACATTTCCAATGCCACGCTGCAAATGCCCACTTCAAGGTGACCCCCCAACTACATGTACAACAGAGCAGATACGCTGTGTCTACCCTACCCAAAATATCCTTGTCCTGTATGTTCTATCTCAGCATAGCCTTAACCAAATTCCCAGTAGTATGATTCAAAATCTAGGAGTCACCTTCTCTCAGGGTCCACATTCAATTACAAAAAAGCCACACTAGCACTTTCTTCAACCCAGTGCTACAAACAATGCTGCATTGTCAGAAGTGACTTTCTCAACTCCAGTCCTTCCTATTTGCTCACTCATTCATGTATGCTTTCATTCAACCAACAAGCATTTAATTAATTACTAAGCCCAGGACTCAATTTCTAATGCCTAGAAACAGAACATCTGAGGAAAAGAAGAGAAGTAAACAAGCAAGCCCAATGCTATGACCAGGAAAACCACAGTGCTACAGTGCAAAAAGGAAGAGCACTCAATCCAGCCTGGAAAAGCAAGAAGTCAAGAAGGTGCATCACACAAGTCTCATCTGGGCTGAAATCTGGGCTCAAGGACATCCTTGAGCACTTGCATTCTGGAGAAAGGCGCAACTTCTAGGTCATAGCCACAGCAGCAGGCTAAGCCTTCAACCACAAGAACGCAAGGGACTCAGGCACAATCAGAATCTAAAAAGTTTAACATGATGTGTGTGGCGCTATGCTGTGTGTTAAACAGAGAGCAACAGATGAGGGGGTGGTCCACATTAGCACCCTAAAGGAGAAGTGACATTATCCAACTGACTACAGTCTTCTGCTTAAAAAAAAATTTAAATACAACAACCAAAGCCTTTCTCAGGGCAGAGAATAAAATCCAAACTCAAGTCACACTTTCCAAGCCCCTGCCACTTGACTCTTACCTAACTTTTCCCAGATCATCTACCCACACACACTAAAATTCCAGATAACACCTTGTCTTCTCTTGGGTTTGCCTTTGCTGTGTTTCCTTCGCTCTGAATTTCCTGTCCAAACCACCATATTCCCCTGTCAATTAATCCAGGCCAATCCTACCCCCTCTAAGTTTCCCCAGGCCCTCAGAGTGCCTCTGACGCTGCTGCAGTCAGTCATATCCCCACCGGCTCCCCCTACAGGCTTCTGGAGTACACATGTAATGAAGTGAATCCTCTGGCTCACACCTGTCATCCTAGCTACTCAGGAGGCTGAGATCTGACCACTGAGGTTTAAAAAGCTGGCCCAAGCAGGAAAGTCCGTGAGACTCTTATCTCCAATTAACCACCAGAAAACTGAAGTGGCACTGTGGCTCATAGTGGTAGAGCACTAGGCCTCGAGCTAAGAAGCTCAGGGACAGCACCCAGGCCCTGAGTTCAATCCCTATGAGCAAAATAAATAAATAAAACGATGAGAAAAATATTCAGTTCACCAATAAGCCATTTCTTTTTTTATTGGTTTTGCTGTTGTTGTTGTTTGTTGGTTGTGGGGCTTGAACTCTGATCCTAGGCACTATCCCTCAGATCTTCAGCTCAAGGCTAGCACTCTACCACTTGAGCCACAACTCCACTTCCGGTTTTCTGGTGGTTTATTGGAGATAAGAATCTCACAGACTTTCCTGCTTGGGCTGGCTTTGAACTGTGATCCTCAGATGTCAGCCTCCTAAGTAGCTAGGAGTACAGGTGTGAGCAACTGGAGCCCAGCTACCAATAAGCCATTTCTAAGAGGCCAATCATGGCAGGTCACAAAGACATAATTGTTTTTTAATTATATGAAAACAACCAAAAGCCTAGATTTCCAGCTAGGTGCTGGTAGCTCACAGCCTACTTAGGCTGACACAGACTCCTTTTCAACCATGAGCTGGATAAGGTGGCACGAGTCATCCTAGCCTTGCAGGAGGCATAAATAAGTAGATTCAGTACAAGCATGCACATGGGCAGGAAGCCAGGCCCTGTCTCAAAAATAACTACTGCAGCAGGGTAGTAGTGGCTCACACCTTTAAATCCTAGCTACTCAGGAGGCTGAGATCTGGAGAATCACAGCTAGAAACCAACGCAGATAGAGAAATCTGCAAGAGGGCTGGGAAGGTGGCTCAGTGGTAGAGCGCTTGCCTTGCATGCTGGGTTCGATTCCTCAGCACCACATAAGAAAAAATAAAAAAGCCGGAAGTGGCGCTGTGGCTCAAGTGGTAGAGCGCTACCCTTGAGCTGAAGAGCTGAGGGACAGCGCCCAGGCCCAGAGTTCAGGCCCCACGACCGGACCCCCCCCCCCAAAAAAAAGAAAAGAAAAGAAAAATCTGAAAGATTCAACCTCCAAATAATTAGAAAAATACTGAAATGGCTGTATGACTTAAGAAGTAAGTGGCAGAATGCCAGCTGAACAAGCAAGCAAAACTAGTGAGGCCCTTCGTTCAACCACTGTTACCAACACACACACACACACACACACACACACACACACACAGAGTGACTAACAGAGGACATGAGAGACTGACTGAAATACACTGTAAATGTGTAGAAATGTAAAGATGAAATCCAGCATTGTATAATTAAGGTTAAGCCAAATTTCTTAATTGTTTAAAAAAAAGTTTCACATCAATAAGTTGGGCAACACTAGATTAACTAAGTAAAATATTTTTTTTAACCTGCCAAAAAGGGCTGGTAGTCTTAGCAAGTTGAGACCCTGAGTTCAAACCCCATTATCAAAGGGGAGAAAATAGGCCTAAATTTCAGTGTGTTTTCATAATGAATTATCCTTAAACAAAAACAGCTATCAGCCGGGTACCTGTGGCTCACACCTATAATCCTAGCTACTCAGGAGGCTGAGATCTTAGGATCACAGTTCAAAGCCAGCTTAGGCAGGAAAGCTCATGAGACTCCTATCTCCAATTAACCACCAGAAAACCAGAAGTGGCACTGTGGCTCAAGTGGTAGAGCGTTAGCCTTGAGCTGAAGAGTGGAGAGACAGTGCCCAGGCCCATAGTTCAAGCCCTTGTAACCAACAAAAAAAAAACTATCTAAATTTAAGATTTTAAAGTAAAGCCAGGTGTAATGGCTCATGCCTACAATCTTAGCTATCCTTGAGAGGCTGAGATGGAAAGATCATAGTTTGAAGCCAGTCCAGGCAAAAAGTTCACAGGATATTATCTCAACCAAGTTTTTAAAAGTTGGGCATGGTGGCACATAACTGTCCATCCTAGCCACAAGGGAACCATAAATGAAAGAAACATGAATGTAAACCATCCCAGGCATAAACATGAGACCCTATTAGAAAATAACTAAGGCAAAAATGAAGGGAGGTGTGGTACTTAGCAAGCACAAAGCACCAAGCACAAAACCCAGTACCACCAAAATAATAAGTAAGCAAGCTCAGAAAGAGTACTTAACTTGCTCAGCCACAACAAACCAGGCAGTTGTTTTACGAAAGTTATACACAATCACAACATAACCCAACCATCTCCACATATCCTACTAACCTGCTTAGCTGATTACCTGGAATTACTTCCCTAACTGTTCCCTCAGTTAGCCCCCTTGTTCTTGCAGAGTTCTGCTCAGAAAGTTTCCCCAAACTCTCAGTTGAGTCACAAAGCACTTGCCTGCAGGATGCTGTACCTGAGCTGTAATTCACCTGCATCCTGACTGATACCACTCCTTCTTGTGCTAGCTCCATGAGGATAAGGACTGACTCTGCCTTGCCCTGTGCCTAACACAAACCAGCACTTTATCATTTGCTGAGTAAATAACTGACTCAAAGCCTAACAATACTGAGGTACAAATGCCTCTACAGTATTCCAAGTCCTACATCTTTTAATAGTTCCAACAATAGCTATATAAATCCTAAAATCACAATATTATAGTAACACATTTAACTCTATTTAATAAAGATTCAAATAATGTTATCTGCTACTCTCTACTAACCAGAATGTGTGTTAACCAATGTACCACAATTTTTCATTACAAGCAAGGCATCAGAAAATTCACACATCAGAAGTACAACAAAGGTGCTTGCTTGCCAGATTTTTGGCTGATAGTGCACCCTTCTGCAGAAATAAACTTTGCCTTGCCACACTCCTTTCAAGATGGTTTCTTTACACAATACACCAACATTCCAAGACATTTCTAACTATTTGGGGGCTCATCCGGGACCTGGCACATCACCTGAGGAAATCCTGAAAGTTCATTCTTAGGAAGAGATGCATCCAACTGTCTCAATGCGACAGCCTCCAGTGGGGCTAAACCAGCATTCCCTTGTGGCTGACAGTGGACTCAGAATTGAAGGTGAATCGGCGACACAAGAAAGCAGCCAAAGTAAAGGGGCTTGGACAGAGGGGTCCAGACTAAAATTGCAGTGACTAGTATCTCCTCAGCAATATCATCCCTCAAGGAAACAAAGACTGCAGGCCCTGATGCCACATCTCAAGTTTCTGTATTCCAATACAAGCCTGGGCAGTATGCTAAAAGTGAGCTATACATCTTGTGACTGGGGATAGGAGAAAAACTGGGAGACAGCAAGGGAAGAGGTAACATCCAAAAAGGAATATACTCTTTACCTGACTTATGTAACTTTATTCCCTCTGTACAGTAAGCACAGAGTAAACATTTGACAGTAATTCCGCACATAGATAACTTATCTAAGAGAAGTGAAAGCATTTATCTACACAAAAACTTGTGCATAGCAGCATTTTTCTTAAGAGCCAAAAGGTGGGTTAACCCATATGCCCATCAACCAGTGAATAGAAAAACAAAGTGTGGTACATCCTCACAACAGAGTATTATTCAGCCATAAATGGAATTACATAATGACACATTCAACAACATGCCTCCAAACATGCCAACAGAAATAAACCAGCACAATACTTTATGCTTCCATGTCTAGCATAGACAAATCCATACAGACAGGAAGTAGATTAGTAATTGCCCAGAGAAAGGCAGAAGGGGGAGAGACTGCTAATGGGTACA